AGTATCCTCTTCTGTCCCCAAGGTCATCCAGCATCTTCTTACGTCTTCTTCCTCGTCTTCTGGTCACTTCTATCCGCCCCTCTATCTTTCCTTCAATAACTTCTTTTAGAAGGCAGTTACTGCGTAAGATATGACCAATCCAATTAGCCTTCCGTTTTCTTATTTCGTGTAGGATATTCCTCTGCTCACTGACTCTAAGTAACACTTCTTTATTTCTCACATAATCGGTCCAACTAAACTTAAGCCTCATTACAGCTTTTCATAATGAAGAAAGTAGGCTAAAAGTGTTCCTACGTTAAAACAGAAAATCTGGATCACATAGAATGCAGATGTTGAATAACTGGGTAATTGAAGAATATTTTCTTCCTAGAAGTGATATTGCATAATTTGGTAAATATGTAACATTTCGGAGAAACCTGCAAGGAGCGGACAAAGTAATGAAAACACTAAGAAATTGAGGATTGGAGTTTGTTTATATTGGCTGCATAGAAAGAACTTCAGCTGCCAACACTGAATGTTCTTCTTCCGTTCGTTTACACTCTGTAGTGCTCGTGTAAGTACATTAGTGACGTTGCTGAGTGACAGTCCGTGTGAAAGAACTGGGAAATCGGAAACCTGTCCTAGTTTCCAAAGGACAGATCGTTAGTGCGCGTTTGACTGGAGCATCTGTGACAAAAACTGTCACAGAATTAGGCATATCGAGAGCGACAGTTCCTAAGATTCTGTCTGCTTAAACGAACCATGGGAAGACATCAGTGAAGAGGAAGAGTGGGCGAAAATCAACACTGACAGGAAGAGAACGTTGTACATTGAGAAGGCTTGTTTCGAAGAATCACAGAACTACAGCAGCACAGGTGACAGGACAGCAGAACTGAATATTCATCTCGAAGCCCCTCTTTCCACAGGAACTGTCCGACCTGAACTTCACAAATACAACATCTGCGGTAAGGCTGCAATTGCTAAACCTCTGATTACTGACAGTAATATTCAGATGGGTAAACGATGGTGTCACGGTCATAAACACGGACATCAGACAACTGGTAACGCGTGCGTGATATGTTCAGATGGGACACCCTTCACGCTGTTCCCTACATCAGGAAGAGTTTACATTTGGAGGACACCCAAGGAAGCCTACAATCCAAAATACCTTGTTCTGAGAGTGAAACACAAGGAAACCTACTCTTTCTATGAAGTTTCCCTCCAGAAAGTTTTTGTACAACATACGTAAGATCAGTAAGGTCTAGTCTCACTAGAACAGACTATAAAGTTTTGGAATTGCAGTGAACTGTATTCACGACATTTCCAAGCCAAATTATGTAGTACGAGCGGACAACGATATTCACTTCCACTCCACCCCCACCACCCCTCCCTTTCTTCTCCGGGTTTCTTGCCCTGTTTAGCTATGATCAACAGAATAACAAAGGACCCAAAGGGCTGCAGAAAACGTACGATGAGCCTACTGTTCCTTCCAGCCTGCTTCGGGCTGCCTTCTGTTCTGCTGGCAATTTTTCAGGTCATGTTTGTTACAAGCAGAAGTACACGATCTTCTCCAGGAATGCAGTTACTACCATTTCAATATTGGGGGTACGCGGTAGCGTAGTTGGTTGAGAGGCTATGTTACAAGTTCGAGGGTCGCGGGTTCAAGTCCCGATGAGATTTTTTTTTTTTTTTCAATTGAACTAATCCTTCCAGCCGCACTATGGCCCTGAGGTCTACTCAGCCTCTAACAGAAATGAGTACCATGCGGCCGGCGCGTAAGGCTGACAACTTTGGGCCGCGCCATAGCTCAAGCGGTTAGTCGCTGGCTTCCCACTGCGGCGGCCCGGGTTCAATCCCAGGTCTGGTCAAGTGGGATTTGTGGTGGACAAAGTGGCGATGTGGTGGGTTTTCTCCGAGTACTTCGATTTCCCCTGCCAATCTTCATTCCACTAATTGCTCCACAATCACCCTCATCTATTATCTGGGGCTTGTACAATAGACCAGAAGTGGTCGCAGTACAAGGCACTTAGTCCCACCCCACTAGCAAATAAAAAAAAGCTGACAACCTTACCGCCATCTATGAGCCGATTGTCTAGATAATGTGGGACCCTCAACGTCTCACAACCCTATGGGCCTTCACGACCTGGTACACGGATAGCTTTACTTACTTTTTTACTTTCAGCATTGTCAATATCACAGTTGCAGTATTTAAACGAACAACACTCCAGCTTGGAAATTAAAGTCCAGTTGTGTAATCTTCAAGAAGAAAGATTGGTAGTAAGGATTCGAATTGCATCTAAATTATTAGCACAACACTAGCTCATCGCTTCAATAATTATGACTACATTACATAGTGTAAGACTTAATTAATCCGTTCCACTTACACCTTACTGTGTCCAAGTGTCGAGGTTATTTTTTCATTTTGATCATTTAACAGACAGTGGGACTCCTTGGACGAGTGATCAGCTCGTCGCAAAGCCTCTACCTAAACACAGGGCAACACGAACAAAGAATAAACACATACACATACCAAACATCCATGCTTTGTGTGGGATGCGAACCCGCAATCCGGGCGAAGACAGTGCATGCCTCAGACCGCTCGGCTACCGCGGCCGACTACTGTAAGACTACGGAACAAATTTTATATCTTTGGGCGTTTTCTATTAGATCAGCAGTAGGAAATGGAAGGCAAAACAGTTACTGAGCAAGAACGACTGTGCTGGCGAAAGCCAACAGCAATTTATCCGGGAATCAAATCTGAAATCCGAGCATTAATTACACTGGCGAGATCAGCAGCAATTTGCCAGTTAGATAGCATCAATTAATTAATTCTTGTCACACGACTTTCATATTCATGCTCAAGATTCCTTTTACCTCAAAGGTATTGAGACTTAAATAAGACCGTTTCTGGCTTAATATTTACACAAATCTGGCTACTTAAAGACGGCACTAGACTATAACGTGGTTTCCAAACTTGTGTTCCACATAATTCAGCTAACTTTATGCTTGTTCTCAAACTTAAGTACTATTAATTTTATTTTACCATAACTTCAAAAATAACTACCATTCAGGTAGTGAGTTCCCCATGAAGATGGATACTATAGGGAACTCCGGATTTTCGGAAGTACAACTTACATTTATACCGTTACGTCACCAAGAGACACGGTCCACATCCATATGTTCAAAGTTCTCAATGCATCATAAAGATTCTGTACACGTGTTTACGTTATATATATTTCGACTAAGTGAAGCTGATGACATGGTAACATACAACTTATTCTTTTTGACATATCTTTTAGCCATCTGACTTGCCTCTATGCCAGTGGCTATGGTTGATCTGAAGATTATGTCTGAAACCTGCGTGTGTTGCTTGGAAATCATTTTCTGTAACTCGAGACGAATATTTGCTTATAGAAGCGTTTAATACGTCGTTAAACGATATACTAATTCCAGGATCATATAAAAGAGTCATAAAACGAGAAGATGGATGCTCGGTGAACAGACAAATAAGCTAAACAGCAGGATTAATGCGTAAGTTAGTCAAATAAAATGTAACCCTCTGACATGTAATCATTTAAGTGAAATGTAATTTAAGAGTAGGAATTCCACGACTCCAGCACAACCTCTGCCTCAGGACTGACGTATGTGAATATGAAGTTTGTATATGAGTTAATTTAAATTATTTTAAAATACAGTCACTTTCATACAGTGAGTTTTATCACAAAACTATCTATCTACGTATCTATGGCTCTAGAGTCCTTTGTTGGGCCTTGGTCGCTTTTTCCGTTTCTTGATCTTTTATACAGTCAACAGAGCTCCTTGGGAGGGGAATCAACCCTCCGAAAATCACGAAACATAGTCATGGCAAAATTATATGCGTTATGGGTTGAGTCGTAAATTAAATTTTTTGTCTTGCTACATGATTTTGTCTTCTTGCATGGCACGACAAGCTAGTGCGGTCAAAGGTCTCCCATTTTACCATTTGCCGAAACTTAATTTTAGACATTTAGTATTACTCCTTGGATGGGTAACCGGCCAGTCACATGGCCTCACCCGCATACAACATTGCAAACAAAAAAGACGTTGACATATAGTATATCCCAAGTGGGAATCGAACACATAATCCCAGTGTTAGAGCCGTACAAAACTCAGATCTCTCGGTCGCTGTGATCTGTTTTGTGTACCCATAATACCAATACAGCATTAATTTAAATTTTCGGAATAAATGGTTTTACTATGTCACAATTGTTTGTGTATGCATGCGCCATCTGTTATCAAATAACTGAACTATTTCAACTTTGATCTGGTTACTTCCAACAGCCGCTCAAGTAATTAACTGAAGCAAAATGGGCAGACGTCAGCACATGTCAAATTAGGTCAGCGAGTCTAAGGCTAAATGAAATAACTTACCTATTTATGTATTTATTTACATATTTATTTACTTATGATTAGAAAATACAACACCATAGTTTTGACCGTGGTTCTGTATGGGTGTGAAACTTGGTCTCTGACATTACGAGACGAACACAGACTGAGGGTGTTTGAGAACAGGGTGCTGAGGAGAATATTTGCACCAAAGAGAGATGAAGTAACAGGATGTTGGAGAAAACTGCATAATGAGGAACTTCATAACTTGTACTTTTCGCCAAGTATAATTAGAACGATCAAGTAAAGGAAAATGAGCCTGGCAGAGCACGTAGCACGAATGGGAAGAAGGGGTATGCATATAGGATATTGGTGGAAAGCCAGAAGGAAAGAGACCACTAGAACGACTAAGAATTAGGTAGGTGGACAATATTAAAATGGATCTTAGAGAGATAGATTGTCTGTGCTTCTGTGAATCCCCCTTTATTAACTTTCCAATGCTTGGCACCTGAACAAATCATAACGGTGTACTTCATAAATCCCTTCCATCAGTATGTGTATCCCTTTTCGTTGCCAGGCAGTGGCCCGGTAAACACTTTCCCGCATCAACGAATGCACGCAACGATAGAAGACTTATTGGTCTGGTGTGTCTGTAGGTCTGTATGTCGGTCTATCGTTGCAAGGCAATGACTAGGTGAAGATGTTCCCGCGGCAACGAAGAATTGTTGGTGTCTCTTCTGTGCGTTCCCTGTCTTATGAAAGGAAATCAGGTGATGAGTTTTTCCCAGAACTTCTTGTTAATTATCAGATTATAAAATATGCTTCTGTGTAACGAATGAATCGAACTGACTAAATCTGTTTGTATATATACTTATCTATATTTTACAAAACTGATTTGATTTCCATTTACATTGTCAGAGCAGTCAATTGTTACCCCCTTCCCCCCCCAAAAAAAGAAAAGATACAGACTTCAGCGTACAAATATCTAGTTAAATACTTTATTTGTGTATATTTGGTTCAGCTTTGAAAATGTTCTTAGGTAACCTCTGTAACACACTTTAATAAAGATTATATACGGACAAATTCAAAGTTGAACATTCGATATACCACGAAAGCACTTAAGCAGACATTTTGAGCTTTGAAACCTGTGTACATTTTTTGGGTCCCTCTATATTTACGTTCCACAATTGTCTACATATGCAGCTGCAACACGACAGGCAGAAATTGTACCGAACTGCACTAAAGCCTTGTCTTCCTCTTTACCATACATTTTTCATTAAAGAAGTTTCCGATTTTAATTACGTTAGGTATGGGATGGAGGGCGGGAGTGAGGGATGAGGAGGGGCTGCCTTTCTTTCACCTTAATGATTTCCATATGCTAATCCTGGCAGAAGAGTGGGTCGAGATTCAAGTGTTGTATAATTACGCCGGTCGCAAACCAGCACCTGAGCGAGGCGCTATTTCATCCAGGGTGCGCCATGTTGACAGCACCGGCGCCCTTAAAATTTTCAAATAAAAATCTTGGTAAGCTCGCTGTGCAATATACCGCACACTGAGTGATAGATAGGGTTGGTGAATCACAGGGCGTGTGTCACGTGGGGTTAACAAATTATATAAAGGATTTTTGTCAGTGCTTTAAAGCTCCATACGAAAAATATGATCATCCGAGACGGATTGCAGTGTAGTTTGGTATATGATTACCGGCATAAAGTAAAGCTCAATTAATTAAGCGCCACGCCATGAAGACGTATGTGTGATTGGAGTTGTAGCTCCACAATTCTTCACATCGGCGCTAGATAGAAGTGGTGAGCTCCACGCTCCGGCCGCTTCACTCCCGAGGAAAGAGTCAGTCTGAAAGAAATAAGAAAATCTTAGCCTAGCAGGGAATCGAACCCTAACAATCCACATCTTAGCTGATCGCTATACGAACTGAGCTGTCCCAGTTCCTCAAGATTGCCGGTGTTTCGGAGAAAACTGCTGCCTCCTTGATCAGACTAGAAGACTTATTCGACATGTTTGTAACCATCTACCAGATTATCCTACGTCACTTCCCAGAAGACTTAGTTACGGCTGTGGGAACATCAAACGTCGTATAACGCTCAATACATAGTGACAGTGGTAGCACCGTTTCGATTTCCCCTGCCAATCTTCATTCCACCACAATCACCATCACCTATCATCCGGGGCTGGTAGAATAGGTCAGTTAGTGTCCGAATCACCGAGTTGACTCAGTCTCACCCCACTAAGAATAAATAATAATTCAATTCAATTCAATTCATGTTTATTTACGTTAATAATAATAATAATAATAATAATAATGGTCTCTCTAGGCAAATGCCGGGTTAGCACCTGGATTAGGCCATTATCCTTTCCTTCCAAATCCTTTCCTGTTCATCAATCATCGTACCATTAGACTGTGCAGAGTTTCAGTACTGGAAGCGCCTTGCAATGAGACCACGGATCCTCTCACCGGATTCGAGCCAAGGCGTGCTGCTTCGTTACACACTGGGCTGGACTGGGGTGTCGTCGACGTCGCCTCTAGTGTCGCGCATCGCTTTGAGACGACAAGGCGACATGCGCACCGCTGAACAGGGGCGTCGTTTATTTGGGTGACATCCAGAATTGGGCGGCTCTGTCAACTGCCAGAGACGCAGTCCCTGTGTGGTTTGGATTGGACGTTCCTTGCTGAGAATGGAAGTTTGATGGATCATATAGTATTCAGACAAAGGCATTATATCACCTTGAAGGCGTTTTAAGGGCACTCATTAGATATTTTCTTTAAATTTACAGATCCAGGTTTTGTTACTGTTCGTAATCGTTCAGTTCTCGTAGACTGTTTAGTCCGCGCTGATATACCTGTGTTTAATGATTTTAATTTGTGGATAAATGATAATTATTAATAGTACTATCTTCTGTGTAGTGACATCGTGTAGTCCGGTAGAATTCCACCTACCTACCTACCACTCGGCGCTACAGCCCTGGGTGAGCCTTGGCCTCCTCTACTACCAGTCTCCACAACCAGTGCGTGCTGCCATAGGAATGGGAGGCTGGTTGTTTCTCAACAAAATTATTTTACAGGATGAGGTTGATAGCCTCATGCCCAAACCCCAACCTGGAAGGCCAGGGTATCTCTCTTAGTCTGGACTCTACCCTTTGACCTTTCCGGCAGGGATGAGCTTACTGGTAGTTAAACTACCACCAGCATAGGTCTTTCGGATTAACATATATTCTGCATATTCAGTGTGGAAATGTAAGCCAAGTAAGAAACCAGTAAGAACCACATAACAAGCAGAGTTCTGCTCGCTTCTGCTTTCCTCACTCTTATACCTTAACTATGGGAGTAGTATGTGACGTCGAGGGACTTCTACAGGGTAGCAGGGCGATATATTCCAGAGGACATTCTCTTCATAACCACAGTGAAAATTTCAAACTCAATATAATTTTGTTGTAATTATTGTGTTTCTGGGCATTATCAATCTGCCTGCTTTTTTATTTAAAACACAGCTTTTCCGAGACTGGATTCTGTCTCCGTCTTCAAGTAAAAGCCTACTCAGTTGGGCCCAATCGATAGAGTTAATCTCTATCTCCAGACATCAGCACGGACACAAGATAGGATATACCTACAAATAAAAAAAAAAGTAGAGCTATCCCTGTAACAGGCCTTGGAGGCCCATAGGGTGGTGAGACGTCGAGGCTCCCACATTTCCTAGACGATCGGCTCGCAGATGGCGCTGACGCTTTCAGACTTACGCGCCGACCGCCCTTTACCTCCCAGGAAAATTCCTGATACTCATTTCTGTTAGAGACTGAGTTAACCTCAGGTCCATAGTGCGGCTGGAAGGATTAGATCAATATGATAAACCAGTGACCTCATCAGAAATCGAACATGCGACCTTCCGGCTTATAGCACAGTTCTTCAACCAACTACGATACCGCGACTTATAAACCAAACACAACATAAAACATCGGCAAAGGTTAAGACAAAGATTGAAAAACTCAGTGCTTATGAACTTGATAATATTCAACTGGCTAAGGCTTGACTGGATCTTAACACGTTCACATGTGAGGAGTCCTTTAAACTTTGTCATAACTTCCGCTGATGGTTTGTGTTCCTTTTTGTTTCTAGGTATATCCTGTCTTCTTTCTCTCCACTCTTCCGAGATATGCACTAACTATATCGATTGGGCCCAACTGAGTACGTTCCACTTGAAGATGAAGAGAGAATCCAGTCTCCGAAACGTTGTGTTTTAAATAAAAAACAGGACGATAGTTAATGTCCAAGAACACAATAACTTTATTAATAGAGCTTCAAAAACTTTTGGATCTTACTTAATTTTATTGGATGTGAAGTTGTCACAGCGAAATCTAGGAAGAATTTAGGTATATTACTGTCTGGTACGTGACGCCGTGTAGTCTGGGAGAAAGCGGTCAAGCTCCTGGAGGAATTTACTGCCTCCATCTTTAGCAAGTTCACACGAAGCGTCTGTAAACTTCTACCAGAATGCACGACACCACATTCCAGAAAAGAGTTTTCTTCAAATACGTAATGTATTGGTAACAATAATTAGGTGAACAAATAATTCACTATGCCTGATATTTTAGCATCTGATTTAATTTTCAATGTCAAGTAGATAACTAATTCAATGGTATATAGTCATTCTTGATACCCTGACAGTTGTTTTTCTCGTCAGTATGTTCTCTTTCTTTTATGGGTCCCGAGGATTTATGACGGTGTTCACAGGAGACAGTTACTGAACTCGATCCCTCGTCAAATGAATCCAGTCAATTTCCTTTCAGATTGTTTCTTTAATAATAATTTTAATATTATTCTCCCTTATATGTGAAGATCTTCCAAATTGTCCCTTCCTTTCATGTGTTCCAAAGAAAATCTTGGCAGCTTTTCTTATTCTTATATATTCAACCCCATCTAATCGTATTTTATATGATCATCCAAATTATATTTCGATTATAAATTAAGGGACAATGGTAGAATGATGGTTAACAGGGGGAAAACTAAAAGATAATGGAGAAAAAGCTACTTCAGCGTCGCTTCGTTTGTCACAAATTTCACATGAAATGGCCTGGGATCGAACTCGAATCTCAGCCACCCCAAGACAAGTGCGATAACTCTGAGTAGAGGAAACATTATCAAATATCTCTGACTCGACACCTGACTCAGAAGGGCAGTGAAACTAGCTTTGTGTTATTCTCGTACACACCGAAGCGCTTCAGTGTGCCACTTTATACGTATATTCGGATCCTTATACTTAATCATATTTAGCTTATTATTATTATTATACCAATTTACAAATTGTAAATGTATATATTTTGCTTTTCTTACTTCTTAATGATAACTTTGATTTGTGTCAATAAAAATTATTATTATTATTATTATTATTATGTAAATTTTCATTCTTTGTATTTTGTTTCTCTCTTTTTTTTTACGTATGCTCACTTTGTAAATGGCCCCAGGACTAAATCTGTAAGCGCCACCTATATTAGTGACTTGTAGACGGAGTTTGGACTGGTGAATCGATACAGGTCGCAACTGCAAGTAAGTGTACCACTCCAAGGATTGCTGTAACTGTAACACACAAAATAATGTCTTCAACGTCTGCCAACTTAGGCGTTGCTTGGTATCTCGAATTCTGTCTCTGTATGTCTCAGTTTCGGGCTGAACTGACTTCATGTGGACCGAATATAGACTACCCAGTAGGACATGAGAGCCTCTGTGGTCTAGTGGTAAAAGTTCCTGGCTACAGATCCAGAGGTCCCGGGTTCG